TGCTAGTTATAATGACTTGGATTGATTATTTCTGGTTAAAATCTTGAGGTGTTGTCATTTGAGGGACAAAGGCATGATAGTTGACATTTATGTGTTTTATTTGTAGTAAGTCGTCTTGAACTGTTTATATTCTTGATATGTGCTGGTGACTATTCTGCTTGATGTTGATTGTGTAAGGTGACTTGACGTGAAAAGTTGGGAGTTGAATGTCTCGAAAAAAAAAAAAAAAAAAAAAAAAAAAAAAAAAAAAAAAGAAAAAGAAAGAAAAGAAAGAAAAAAAAAGATTGTGTGAATAATGAATGTGGAGGAGAAGAATAATGGGTGTTGAAAAAAAAAGAAAAAAGAAATAAGTCGTGGGCTGCAACAGCTGCCAGTCTGTGAGCTTTAGTGCATCACTCTAGCACGAATAGCTAAACACCATAGACTGTGACGGAGCTGCCGTTCCCAAAAAAAAAAAAAAGAGGAAAAAAAAAAGAAAAAAAATCGAGACGTTTGATTTCTGGCTAGAAGCGAATGGGAACCAAACCGGTTAACAAAGAAAAGGGTATCATTAGTTGCATGATTGGTATACTCGGTGAAGAGATTGATGAGCTGCGGTAATTCACTGAATGGATATTTGATTGTTGGCGTTCTAAAAATGATTTCATTTCGAGTCCGGGATTATTGATTTGAGAAGTTGTAACTATGCATGATGTGAGATGTGTGAGGACCTGAGCGAAAATTCCACGTACTTATTTGTTTTATCCGTTCTATTGTCTTTAGTTCTTTGTTGCTTGGGGACAAGCAACAGTTTAAGTTTGGGGAGATTTGATACGTGATAAATCTTGTATTATTTTGTGATTCAATTTGCATATTTGAGTATTTGATTTGGGTGTAATATTCAAGTTTTCTCACGTATTTTATTTTGTGAACGGACAAACACCAATATTCGGTTTATTTGTTTATTTTGCAGTATTTGTGCATATTAATGAGGTGCCAGCTAAGTGAGTTACGTGGCCGGGAGTTGATAACTGGGCGTGGCAATGTTTAGGGGATCATGAAATAATTCAAAACCATGCATTGAAGTGGCGGCTGGTTAGAATTGCTCAAAGGGGCTTAACTCTTGAATTAATGGCAATTGGAAAGTTAATTTTGTGAGGATTCTTGTGAGTGGCTAAGGGATGGAGAATTTAATGGCACTGGACTCTCATTATTCTGACTTGGAGAGGGGTCATTTCATTTTCATGGACTCTTAATTTCCTTGGAGTGAACTACGTGGCATGATTTGAGTGGATGGAGAAAAATAATTCAACTTCATGCGTGGACAGGGACGGATCCAGAAATTATGAGTGGACTGGGCTAAAATTTTAAATACTCATTTTCAAAAAAGTCACATATTTTTTTTTTTAATATTCACTGAAGTTGTGTTCGACGAGCTTTTATAGAATAAAATTCATCAATAATTTAATCTATACTTATACTATTACTATTAGTAAACTTCTGTTCGATGAAACGAATCAACCAACGTAGAGAGAAAACCATCCAAAATCTTATTAGGAAGTGTTGTCTTAACAATACTAATAAATTGATTTTCCATATGACATAATTATTAGTAAAATAAAATGATATAGTTATTACCAAAATGAAATGCTTACACATCATAAATTTAAATTCAAATATGATATACAACCATACTAGATGATAAGAGATGTAAAAAAAAAATAATAATAATTACTACTCCATACACAATCAACAAAACAATAAATTACATAATAATAATCATAGCAATTACTATTAAAACCATAAATAGCTCAACTAAAATGAAAAAGATAAATAAATACATTTAGACAAATAGAACAAATGTCTAAGTTCCAAAAAGGGTTTAAAAATATAACTTACCCTTAAAAGAAATTAAATTGTCTTCAAGGGACTTGATGGGGCCACAATAATTAAATTTGTTGTTCAGTTCTAAAACTGTTGTTGAGACTTTAGAAAGGGGCATGGACGAGGTGAATTTTTTATTTGTGTTTGTGTATTGTGGTGTTTGTAATTTGTGGTTAGTGGAATAGATGAGCAATCCATACAATAATTTATTAGAGAATAGAGAATAGTGTTTGGGCTTATGATGAGTTATTTTAGTGGGTTGGTGTATTGGTTTATTGGGTGGGCTAGCAATAAAATAAAAAATATTTACAAGTTTCATAGTTGTTAAAAAAATTTAGCAGGCCTGGGCTTCAGCCCAGCCCAGGCCAATGGTAAATCCGTCCATGTGCGTGGACTTGGCATAATGATTGCAGGACTTGAAAAGAATAAATTTTTCTACATGCTGCTGGGAGAATGGAAGGCCGAGAGTAACAGAGGAGACCAAATCTAATCGTTTGCTGCTCAATTTTAATCTGGCCGTGGATTGCTAAAGGAGTTTGCTATTTTATTTTATTTTCTTTTATTTATTTTGATTAAAGAACATGAATTTTTATTTTTGTTTTGATCATTTAGCTGTGAGTAGCTAAACACTATTTCGGTTTTAGGGACGTTGAACCCTCGGTGACTATGTTCGATTAATGCAATTTTATTTCGTTTTACTCATCGTATAAAATTGATTGTGTTATTCTAGTTTCTTGTCATAATATGTGTTCTTTAATTTAGCTTGATCACCTAAGTTGAGGATTGCATTTTAATTGCTAGATTTAAGACTTCGATCCGTGTAATTGTCGTAGTTCTTATTTCACTTGTAGCAGCTGTTATCATCCGACTCGGCAAGACGCTGTTAAGAGGTTTTGAGCATCTTATTAAACGCGATTAACAGTTAAACCGACATGAATCATAACCGCACCGATCTACACCAAAGAACCGGTCTGAACCGCCAAGGACCGAAGTGACCGACGATTACCGAGGTCAACACCCACCGAGGACATCATGAACCGAGGTCGTCACCTCCTTAAGTAGGTGACAAGGCATCTACGAGAAGCTCTCCTACACCACAAGATCTGTCATCATTTACGTGGGGCCCCCTGCCTCGAACCGCCCATAAAAAAGCTACTTTATTCAAAAAGTAGTACACGGATCCCAATGTCTCAACCGGGAACTACTATAAATAGCGGACCTATGACCAGTGTAAAGGGGGGCTCTCTCTCTCTCTCTCTCTTTTTTCCAAATTTCCGAACTGTAAACACTTTACCATGCAACACGTAAAAGCCCATCACGGCTCTTCACCTCGGTTCACCTCGGACCGGGGCCATTGTTGATTCAATCCTACATGCTTTACGTTCAAATTATTCCAAATTACTCACTTAATCATAACTTATATCGTTGTTAACAATCACATAACAACAGCAGCTAACAGTCGTGCATTGTTAGGGATAACACAACATGAGTTACATGAACTGAGCTTGTGTGTTTGTGGCTTAGATCGGTCTATTTTCCTAGATTCTAATGCAACTAGTGGATTAAATTAGGAGAGCTTATTCCGAGTTATTCGCTAGTTATAATTAATTGAAGAGCCTATTTCGATTAAGTATAATTAAGGGAGAATTCGGGTAGCAGAGCTCATTGCTATCTAGGACCGATAGTTTTAGAAGACGAGTGAAACTTGATAAATGCATTAATTGGACTAGTTAATCGAGGGTGTAGACCGACCTGGAACCGATTCCATTCTCCTA